CTATTTAAAATTAGTGTGCATGTAAATGCGTTACATTGTGTACCGTATATGTTCTCGTATAATCATACTGGGGGCCCCATCGGAAAATTCGCCCGGGGCCTCTAAAGTCCTAAGTCCGGCCCTGCTGCCATAAGTCAATCGAATTGGCGGGATACCGAGGCGGACGGGCCGAATGAACCTCTCTGTTTTACACAAACATACATTCACTCAACCTGCTCTGCTACACTTATTTGTTAACATACAAATTTCAAATTGATATATTATTTTTCTGGAAAAACCAGTGCTCATTACTATGTAGCTAGTTTTTACCTTAACATAATTTTTATAATTTATTTAGGCAAATTAAAACAGATGATTGTTTTTTAACACCATAAAAAACATGAAAAATGTAGTAAGCGAGGAACTTTTTTATTTTTTGGTCAGGGAAAAAATTCCTGCGGCAAAGTTTTAGATCAAAGTATGAATTTTATTTTTTATTTGAAGCTTTTTTTGATACGGAGCCTGCTTGTATAATTTTTAAGCGATTAAAAATAGGCATAAAATCGCTTGGCATTGGCGCTAGGAGTTTGGCCGGCTCAGCATCAGTTTACGGGATATAGAAACTGAGTTTCTAGCATTTAATTATCATTATACTGTATTACATCAAATATGTCATTACATTGCGAAGAATGGTAACTTAATTTACAGGCGTATGTTTGTGCATTTTAATGCTTACCGGTAGTCTATAGTTAACAAAATTCTTTGATATAAATGCTTCCCCGATTGTAATTTCGGAAATTGTCTTCGTGAAATATGAAAAGGCATATAAAGATGTGGAGATAATTTAAGTTCTTGGTAAAACCCACTGAATTAGCGACCTGGCCCAGTTATTATTTCTACTTTTATTCTCCTTTCGTTAAGGTAAACTAAATTAGTGTAAATGCATCCCTTTGACTAAACTTTACCCTAGATTTGGTTCTGGTCAAAATAATATAAACAAAAATAGAAACTACTCTTATTCTAAGTTTATGTGGTGGAATTCCTGCTAAAAGTGCGGTTGACTTTACATTCTATCGAAATAGGCCTATTTAAAACGTTCAGCGGGTTCATAGTTGAGACCATGGTTGAGACCACATTACAATACCTATTTATTTGCTTCTTCATCCTCTTTAGCCATTTAGTTGTTAGATAGTATTACATGTTATATTCAATGGATATATTATGATTTTATTTTAAAACATTTAACGAGTTTATATTCATCTATATTTGAAATACCCCCGCCGCAGCAAACCTGCAGACTAAGCGAATTTCCATTTGACTGATTTGATTTACACTGAAATGTCTACTTAAAAATATAACATTTATTCCCGATTTAAATAGAATTAGTTTAACAAGTACTTAGGTTTGCTGCATCAGGGAGGTAAAACTGTTTTTTTTATGTTAATAGTTTGTAAGAAATAAAAACATTTTTCTAATTTGATCAAAATATGTTCATAAACAAGCAAACTACAACAGTTTACTTATTCTCCATAAGAATAACATGGGAATTTTAAATTTACATTTTTTTGGAATTTTCTCCGTAACCATTAGGCGCATAATAACGCTTCAATATACTAAATTATTTGTTTTTTTAAGCTCTACAAAATGGTTTGGAAAGAAATTGCTAAATTTTATGTTTTTTGGGTCAAAAATGCGAAAAACCTATTTTTACCCCATAAAACCCCCCGTAAACCCCCGTTTCCATGGTCCGATCATGCTGGATCGCGAACTCGTTCGAATAAACGTAGGTTTACACGTTTGTACCGAATTTCATCAAAATCGGATCATTTTTGCTTGAGTTATCGTGCTAACGGACACACACACACACATATATATATATATATATATATATATATATATATATATATGAATTTGAACGGATGGTGTTTTTGGCCTCTAGGGACCTCGAAACGAAAAAAAAATCGGTCCCGCGTCCAGGTCTTACCATGAGTACTACGGTAATAGCTTATTCCCTATATGGGAAATTCGCTAAAAGCTAATCAACGGCTCACGTCTAACATTTTTGCCACTGCAGTGCATGGTTAGGGTTTGATTACCCATTTGTCGAAACCAATCACGAAATTACGTTTCTCCAGCATTGACAAGCATATAAAGAAAAGGAAACTACCTCAAAATATTACTGTTATAGGTTTTCCCTGTACTTTATTCATACTATGCATGCCTACCTGTTTAAGCAATCTACAGAAACATTGTTTGTAAAAAATTAAAAAATACAGGCTATTTTATGCATTAAACTATTGGCTACAACTTAGCCACAGGCAGAACCTCTCTGACCAAAACAAAAAATAGGCCTATATATTTTTTTGCAAAGTATGGTGTTTCCTCTTGACGATAGCTTCCCTCTTGACTGCAACGCCAGCAAGGCCGTGGTGCGAAGTTTTTGCTGGACTGTACTTTTTCTTATCCAACCTAAACCCCTAATCAATTCAAGCTAAGTGCTGCATACATTTTAATTTATATTCACTAAAAAATTGAGATTCAGACTAGTTAAAGTTAAACTGTGTAATGAAATGTAAGTGATAATTTAAGGTAACATATTATAAATAATATTACAGAAACCCTTACAGTTAATAAAACACTATTCTACAAATTCTCTCCAGAAAGTAAATCTTATGAATAATTAACCACTACGGAAATCTATATATATAATATGCTAAGCCGATTTTTGTAAACAGACCATTTATTTATTTATATGATTAAAACTGTTGCAATAGGAAATGTCTACTCACTGTTCTGTTTAAGTGACAAAGAAGGAAAAATGAGCTTTTTTCTGCCAGAAACAAGAAAATGAAATGTATTAAGAAAAATATGTGTTTCATCCCGCGCGTGCTTTGCATGTCACAAGGGATTATGTATTTAATAAAAAAATTGCATTAATTAAAATTGTTTGAATTGAATTGAATTGAATATATACATATATAAAAATTTTAACGAATGGTGTTTTTGGCCTCTGGGGACATCAAAATGAAAGAGTAAATCCATCCCGGGTCTAGGTCTTACCATGCCACCTACGGTAATAGCTTATTTCCCTATAAGGAAATTCGCTAAAAATGACACCAAAAATGATTGAAGCAAAAGTTATCAGTGGTAAGTTTAAAGGAGAAATAGTCATAATCCAAAGAATAATGATGATTTCATCCGAATTACCCTCTGAATTTAAGAAACTAAAATTTCCTTTTTGTCTTGCTTTCGCAATAACCATTTTAAGACACCAGGGCAATCCCTGACTGTCGTCGGTTTAAATTTAGAAAATGCATGCTTTCACACGGACAGCTGTACACATATATATACAAATATAACAATTTTAACGAATTGTGTTTTTGGCCTCTGGGGACATCAAAATCAAAAAGTAAATCGGTCCCGGGCCTAGGTCTTACCATGCCACCTACGGTAATAGCTACTGTACTTTCTTATAGGGAAATTTGCTAAATAGAATCTAAAAACTTTAAAAGGTACCTATCTAATAACTTGTTGAATTATTTACATTGAACACTATTTTTAAATAGAATATGCAATAATCGTTACAACAACAACAACTTCATACCTTAATATTTTATACGACAGTCAAAGACTCCACTGTTTGTGATTACGCATTTTTATTGGTAAATAAAAGGTATACAATGCTTAGCTCTCCACTGAAAAGGCAATCAAAATATAAATTATCACCTTGTCAAAACTTTAACATTATTGAACTAGCCATATTAAGTTGCAAAGAGAAACGAGACTGCTGTGAGTAAAAAAGTGTAAATACTCGAGTATGAGCTTTTATTGAAACGTGACCAGTATACCTACAATATGTAGTAGGTTATTTAATGATGTATAAGTTAAATCCTACTTATAAAAATGTATTTCTGCGTTTATGTATGTTAGGATCTACCTTTTTATGTAGTTTAAACTCATCCTTTTAGTGGGTAGAATGAATGAAGTACAAGGTTTTCGGCACATTTCTAACAAAGGGCTATTTTTACACATAACAAAAAAACAACTGATGTAATCATTATGAAATTTTAACAGCTATTAGAAAATATACTTATAAAACATATTTATATGTTTTAAAATTTTTCATCGGGAAAAAAATCTCTTACGATATTTGTAATGTAATAAAATTGGCTTTTTAATTGAGAGACGTAACAGTTAAGAAACTCAGCTGAAAGCTTGAATTAAAGGTATTAAAAATGTAAAAATGTAAATTTGATTTGCACATTGTGTGCTAACACATATTTGAGTCACACAGCTGAGTGTTCTTCAATCATAAAATGCACGTATAATCAGTAGTTGAGCGCTGGCGAACGGTGCCTGCTATCTGACTGTGGCAACCACTGTAGAGACTTCTGACTCAGACTGTACCGTTGGAGGTTATGAAATTTGGACATTATGAACCACACTGTTTATTTGGTATCTTAACGTTGGAGTTTGTGTAATTTGGACATTGTGAAACAGTGATTATTTGAATGTTATAGATTTGGAGCTTATGAAAATTGGAGGTTATGAACCACTCTGTTTATTTAATATTTTAAGCGTTGGAGTTTGTGAAATTTGGAGTTTATGAAACGCTCCCCAGCAAACCTAACTACTCACTAAAATTAATGTTATTTAAATAGGAAATAAATCTGAAAATTTATAGGGAATATTTTAGTAGAAATCAAGCCGGGTAAATGGAAATTCGCTTAGGATGCAGGTTTGCTGCGACGGGGGTATTAATTTTATAATAGAATGCTCTCATTTCGTCCGTATCACAAAAAGCCTTTACCTTGTGACAAACGACAACTACAATCGCATCGATAGTAGATGATGTTGTGATTCGATAGAGTAGCGAACAATTAACGTTAGTCGCTAAATCGGTGGCGTTTTTAGACAAAAAAGTGCTCACCGAGGAAAAAGGGTTGGAGACCCCTTGTCTAACATATTATATTTTATCTATAGCTGTCTTAGAAAATAACTCTGTTGAACCTCTTTTACAGGAACAATAGAAAACTCAAGAAGGCCATTTGGGAGATGAAGAAGACCAGAATTATTTTTTTTGTAAATTGTACATATCTTTTTTATATTTGTGTTTAAATAATTTTTAATTAAACTTATTTTATCATACAAACAAAGTTTTTTCTTTTAAATGTTTTCCTTGAATGCAATTTTGTTTTAAACAAATATGTTTTGTGATACTTTTGTTTTTGTTTTGTCAAATAAGAAATATATATATATATTTACATTTTTGGGTCACCCAAGAACTTTAACAAACTACCTATAACTTCAGAATAATAAGTCAAATCAAGGTAAGAACAGTAAAGAAGTCTGAACTGATATTATTTTAATCGCCATGAAATTTGAAATGTGAAAAAATGCAACCTAATTCTTCTAAACATATTTTACCAATAAATGTATGAGACATTTATTTGATATTCAATTTAATATTTATTTAATGTCAAATTAAGTGAGGTTGAACCTAAATTGACCATTTATTTGATATCAAATGAATGTTCGCGAATATTAATTTAATATTCGAATGTCAAAAATGTTATATCAATATTTATCACCATCATATTTAAAATGTGAATGTAAATTCAATCATATTCTCTTTATTATATTTTACCAATAAATTTATGAATGTCAAATTTGATATTTATTTTATATTCAATTTGAATATTTATTTGATGTAAAATTGAGTGACGTTTGAACCTAAATTGAACGTTTATTTGATATCAAACGAATGTTCGTGAATATCAATTTGATATTCAAATGTCAAAAATTTGATAGCTATTTGATATCAAATAAATATTCGGTGCTATGTGGGAGCATATTTTAACCCAGATAGCACGTAAGCTTGATTCAAGCCTTGAATTACGCTTGCTTTTACTTGAAATGACAGCTTTGAATTGTCACTTTAGATTCAAACTCGAGTCAAATGTCAACTTCGTGTAACACACTTGAATTACGCTTACAGTGGATTGAATTAACAGCTTTCAAATGTCACATTAGATTCAAACTGGATTCGAGTATACACAACACACTACTATTACGCTTGCACTTGCTTGTATTAACAGCTTTGAAATATCACATTAGATTCGAATCCGAGTCGAGTGTAATATTACCCACAATGCACTTCCATTACGCTTACGTTGGTTTGAAATTACAGCTTTTAAGTATCACGTTGGATTCGAATTGGAGTCGAGTGTATGTTACCCATAATTCAGAGCGGGAACGACGCTAACGGTGGGACCGACACTTGAAGACGCCATCTACCATATTGCTTTGTTTTGTTTATTGTGTATTTGTGAGCGATTCATTCTCAATCTATCTCATTGAGTTGAGAATATCGATATTGTGGTGCTGAGTTGTTCAAGTTATATTATATTGTTAAAGCTGATTTGTTATTAAGTTTCATCTAGGCCTATTTCTTCTTATCCATCAAGGTAAGTTCTTATTAGCACAAACTAAGTAAACTCAAGGATTGTGACTAACAAAATCAAATCGTCTTAAGTTAATTACAAGAATAGCCTAGGAAGAAATTAAGTAAACTCAAAATCAGTGAAAATTTTGAAAGAGCCAAGTAAGTTATAGCCTAAAGCCAGCCACTTTTGAGTTGGTAAGCCTACGTGCAATGAGTAGCCTAGCCTAAAAAATAAATGTTGTCAACTTATCGGCCTAACTTTGAGTTGTATTTTTTTTACCAGCTTGGATATCAAGCTCTCCATGTAGGATACTTAGGTATTGTGGTACTGGTATGGTCTAACTTAGGCCTAGGCATTGTCTTCACTGTTCATAGTATAGACTATGGTAGGTTATAGCCTAGATTAGCCATAATGGGCCTAAGTTACGTTGTAGTCTATTCTATAAAGCTGGGTTTTTCTAGGCGGGGAGAGAGTAGCGTGGAGAGTGAACTCCTCTTGTCTTAAAGTTTAATGTTACCGGTACTGTTTTCCTAGGAAGCAGAGCGGAATGCCGTGTTAATCGATTTTCCGCTCTCCGCGCTCCTCTTCCACGTCTAGGAAAACACGGCTTTAGACTTAACTTAATGCCATATTTTATACCATGATATTTTAATGTGTAGGTAACTTATAACTTAGGGCTAGGGACTTAAAGCTAAGTTACTTCAGTAGCCTACTCGATAAGTATTTAAGCAGCTACTTTGTTAGTGACTTTGTCAGATAAAATGCAGTAACCTACGTTTAATCGCAGTAAGAGTCTGGTCAGCTTTCAGGCGATTAGTTTCTGATATAGGTAGGCTACAAAATTTCTTCTCCATTAAACTAAAAATTGGCATTAAGTTAGGTTAACTTACTTTGATTTTGTCCACTTAACTTAAGGCCTATTTTGCTTGGAGCGATTATCGCTCAGTTACTATCGCTGTTACGGCGACCGTTTTGCTTAGAGCGATTGATTTACGGTCGTCGTACGATTTTTCATCAGCACTCACGATGGTGAGGTCATGAGTGCGTGTTGTAACTTTTTAAACTATCTCCTCAGGGAGGAGTTAGAAGACGAGGCTCTACTTGACCCTAGGGGAAGTATCAATAGACGATCGATAGAAAATACGTAGTGATAGGATAGGATAGGAGTGAGTGATAGGGTTTGGAACGGATGCGTATCACTAGATGTCATTATTTAGGATATAAATAGAAAACTGTAGGCTAGTTTAAGCTACTTATTAAAATCAAAATTAAGAAAAATGCAAAGGAACCTAAACCTAAATAAATAAGTAGGCTAGGTTATTTATTTAGGTTTAAGTTTTTTTGCATATTTCTTAATCTTAATCCTTTAGCCTATAGCAAAATAGGCTAGTATAATTAAATAACTTCTTGATCAGCATTTTACGTGTTATTAAATTTACGGAAAGTAAATAAAAGAAACGTCTTATAACACTTAAAACATATATTTACATTCGCCTATTGGGTCTGATGATGATTGGAGTGTCCAATCGAAATCGATCACCACTTACCATCTGTTTTGTATATTTACCGTCTTATGAGTAACAGTATAAGCGTAAATATATGTTTTAAGTGTTATAAGACGTTTCTTTTATTTACTTTCCGCTAGTATAATATAATCTTACTAATATTTTAAATGTGAAAGTTTGTGTGTTTGTTTGTTTGTTTGAAGTTCAATCACGCATTAAGTAACTACTGGTCGGATCGAGCTGAAATTCGGTATGATGATAGCTTTCGTTCCCAATTAACATATACATATTCTTATCTCAAAGACCCATTCAGGCTCCGCCCCAGTGGCTTTGGAGATTTCCATGTTAACCTTATCAGTATTCAAATTTAAAATGAATAAAATAATTTTACCAGCGGTTTCAACTACACGAGTTGGTTCTATGATATTCAATAGTACTGAAAAGTTATAGTGTTTACTAATAGGGTGCAGAACATATGACAACAGCTTATTTGACCCAAGCAGCAACAAAAAGCTATGGGCGCGTTCTGGGAACATGTACCGGTGCACCGGTGCAGATCGATTAACCGGTGACTTGTTCACCGGTACCGCCCCGGGGCAAGAGTCTTGGTATCCCAGAACGGTTATTCACCGGTTTAAGGTACACATCGGATTATAATATACACATTCACCTATTATTTACTTTATAATATTTAAACCAAACAAACTTGTTCTCACAGAATAAATTATTTGAAAATTATTCACTTAATACGGAATAACACCCTCATAGAATAAATTATTCACTCATTACGCAACATAACCTATAAAACTGATGAACTATTAAATTATTCGATGGACCCGCCATCTTGCCGTAGCTACATGCTGTTGTTGGTGTCCAAGAAACTGACCAATCGACCAATCAGAGGTCGCCGGTGTATTATGCACCGTACAATTTCTCCGGTGCATAAATCTTGCACCGGTGGAGGAAAAAGAGGAAATAGCTGTCTGCTAGGTTAACTCACCGGTCTCCCAGAACGACACATTTTTTGCACCGGGGCAACACCGGTGCACCGGTACATGTTCCCAGAACGCGCTCAATGATACACAATGGGAACTGACAAAAAATAGGACTGTTTACAGTTATGCTTAAGTTTTTTATTTATAAATAATTTGTGATTGTGCGAATATTTGGTAACTTATTCGTCTCTATTGTTTAGGTAAAGTGGTAGCACATTATTATGGCTATAGTAGATGTGTAAATTATCGTAAGTTAAAAGAACCAAATTTACTCAAACTGTGTCCTCTCCCATTGCAAACACAAAGCAAGAGTATAACTGCAATAAGCATTTTATACTTATACGCCAACCCCGTACGAAGGACGGGTACTCTGCTAGTATACAATACATATAAAAATAAATTTGATTAAAATGTTTTTCGTGGATCCCACAAAAAATGCTTGCGGACCACACCTTGAGAAACTCTGACCTAAGTTAAACTTAATAATTTACATTGAATGAAACATTTTAATCTGAGTCAAACATTTAAAGTTATAACTTTACTTAAGTATTTTATGGGAAAATAACATAATCCTAACTTAACTTAAGTTAATATTTTAAGGTTACCTAAGTTAAATTATCGAATAAAATTTGCATCTGATGATATAAAATAGGCCTTTTGTAGGTTTATTGCAGAACTGTACCTGGGTGTTTTAACATAAATAATATAAATATTTTATAACTAAAATAACTTAGGTCTAGGCTTAAGTTTCACAGGTTATGTAATAAAGATCTTCTAAATAAAGTTATACACATCGGCCTACAGCTGGATTTTTTTTAACCAGAAGCGGTTAAGATAGGCACTGTAGGGGTGGCACAATTTTTATTTCACCTGCGGAATTTTAATACGGACAAAATGAGAGTAAAAAAATAAAAAAACGTATAATTTGTGTAATATAAAAATTAAACTGTCATAACCTAACCTTACTAACCAAACTTGCTGATAATCACTACTGATAATCTCTATTACTAATCCCTACTGAATAATTTACTACCTTTAGTCCATCAGTGACGTTGAATATTAGGATCGGTCTATTTTGATCGCCCTACCGGCGCAAGTACCGATCAGTAGTGAACTTGTTAAACAATTGATTTATTAAAATATTAAGGATACCTAATATGAAAGTAAAATATTTGAACTTCAGAAATTATAATTAACCCCATGT